AAGGATATCATGTTTGGTAAGGTGGAGGGTCAGAGAAAAAGAGGAAGACCCCCAAAGAGATGGATTGGCCAAGTAGCAGCATCGATGGGCTCAAGCGTGGCAACAGTAGTGAGGTTGGCCTAGCTGGGCAGTGTTTTGTTCTGCTGTGCAGAGGATCACTATGAGTTGGTATTGACTCAATGGAAACTAGCAACAACAACAACAGAGTACCCAGGGTGGACAAGTTTTAGTTGAGCTTTCAAATGAAGACAGACTAGAAAGGAGAGATGGACCACTTCCAGATATTTAGCCACTGAAAACCTTATGAATAGCAGTGAAATACTGTCAGCACAGGAATATTGCATATCGAAATATGATGAAGAGAACCAGAATATCGTCAGATATAGTGCTGGAAAAAAGAGCCCCTCGGGTTGGAAGGCACTCAAAATACAATTGGGGAAGAGCTGCATCCTCAAAGCAGAGTTGACCAAAATGAGGCAAATGGAGTGAAGCCTTCAAGACCTTCATTTGCTGATGGGGCACAAGTCAAAATGAGAAGAAAGAGCTGTAAATATCCATTAATAATCAGAACATGGAATGTATGAAATATGAATCTAGGGATTTGGAAATTGTTAAAAATGAAGTAGAAAACATAAACATTGATATTCTACGCATTAGTGAGCTGAAATGGACTGGTATTGGCCATTTTTAATCTGACAATCACATGGTTTACCATGCTGAGGGGTGACAAATTGAAGAGGAATGGTGTTGCGTTCATCATAAAAAAGACCAGTAATGAAATACAATGCTGTCTGTAGGCATAATATCCATACGCCTATAAGGAAGACAAGTTAATACCACTATGATTCAAATTTATGCTTCAATCACTAAAGTCAGTGATTATGACACTGAAGAATTCCACCATCTTCTTCTGTTTGAAATTAATCAAACATGTAGTCAAGATGTGTTGACAATTACTGACAATTAAAATGCAACAGTTGAAAAAAAAGAGGAAGGATCAGTAGTTGCAAAATAAGCTCGATGATAGAAATTATGCTGGTGATAGCATGATAGAATTTTGTAAGATTAATGACTTCTTCATTGCAAATACCTTTTTAAAGCAACATAAAAATGATTATACACATGGATCTCACTAGATAGAATACACAGAAATCAAATAGACTACATCTGAGGAAAGAGACAGTAGAAAAGCTCCATACCATCAGCCAAAACAAGGCCAGGGGTAGACTGTGGAGCAGACTATCAGTTGCTCACATGCAACTTCAGGCTGAAGCTGAAGAAAATTAAAACAAGTCCATGAGAGCCAAAATATGACCTTGAGTATATCCCACATGAATTTAGAGATAATCTGAAGAACAGATATCATACAATAGAAACTAAATACCAAAGACCAGAAGTGTGGAATGATATTAAGAACATCACACAGAAAGAAAGCAAAAGGTCATTAAGAAGACAAGAAAAATGGAAAAGTCCAGAATGGATGTTGGAATACTCTGAAACTTGCTCTCTAGCATGAAGATGCTAAAGCAAATGGAAGAAATGAGGAGGCAAAAGAGCTGAACAGAAAATTTCAAAGAGCATGTAGAGCAGACAACGTCAAATATTGTAATGAAATGTGCAAAGACCTGGAGTTAGAAAACCAGAAGGGAAGAACTCGCTCCGCATTTCTAAACTGAGGGATGTAAAGAATAATTTAAGCCTTGACTTGCAATATTGAACGATTCTCTGGCCAAAATATTGAGTAATGCAGAAAGCATCAAACTAAGATGGAAGGGAATACACAGTCACTGTACCAAAAAGAAATTGCTGCTGTTCAGCCATTTCAAGGGTTAGCATATGGTCAAGAGCCAATGATACTAAAAGAAGAAGTACAAGGTGCATTCAAAGCTTTGGCAAAGAACAAGGCACCGGAAATTGATGGAATACACATTGACATCTTTCAAGAAACTGGTGCAGTGCTTGAAGCAATCACTCATCTATGCCAAGAAACTTGAAAGACAGCTACTTGGCCAACTGATTGGAAGAGATCCGTACTGTGCTCATTTCAAAGAAAGGTGACCAAATACAATCCACGTTCTGTTTGGCCACCTGTCTTTGAAATGGGCACAATATGGATCTCTTCCATATTACCATTGGATAATATCATTAATATTGCATGCAAGTACATTTTTGCTAAATACAACACAAAAATGTCTGCAACCACACATTGACAGAGAACTTCCAGAGATTCAAGCCAGATTCAAAAGAGGGCATGGAATGAAGAATATCATTGCTGACATCAGATGGTTCTTGGTTGAAAGTAGAGAATACCAGAAAGATGTTTACCTGACCTTTTTGATAACCAAAGTCTTTTGATTGTGTGGATCATGTCAAACTATGAACAACATTGCAGAGGATGAGTATTGCATTCTTAATGGTGCTCAGTAGGAACCTGTACCTGGCCCAAGAAGCAGCTGTTCAAACAGAACATGGGAACACCGAGTGGCTTAAAATTAGGGAAGGTGTGTGCCAGGATTATATTCTTTTAGCATACATATTAAATCTGTATGCTGACTAATTAATCTAAGAAACTAGATTATATGACAAAAAATGTGGCATCAGGATTGGAGGAAGACTCATTAACAACCTGTGATAAGCAGATGATACAACCTTGCTTGCTGAAATGCTTAAATACTTACTGATGAAAATCAAAGGCCTTCGATATGGATTGCACCTCAGTGTGAAGAAAACAGAAATCCTTATTACTGGACCAGTAACTACATCCATATATAGGAGAAAAGATTGAAGTCAAAAACTTCATTTTTCTTAGATCAACAGTCAAAACTCATGGAAGCAGCAACCAAGAAATCAAACAATGTATTGCATTGGGCAAATCGGCTGCACAAGACCTCTTTAAAGTGTTTGAAGACCAAAGATGTCAGTTTGAGGACTAAGGTGTCCCTGACCCAAGTCATGGTATTTTCAATAACCTCACATACATGTGAAAGTTGGAATAAGTAAGACTCTAGAATGTTGTTGTTGTTGTTATGTGCCATCGAGTCGGTTCCAACCCATAGCGACCCTGTATAGGGTTTCTGAGGGTGTAAATCTTATAATTGATGCATTTGAGTTCTGGTGTTGGAGGAGAATGTTAAAAGTACCATGGACTGCCACAAGAACAAGCCAATGTGTGTTACAAGAAGTACAACCAGAATGTTCCTTGGAAACCTGTATGGCCAGACTTTGTCTCTCATACTTTGGACATATTATCAGGAGGGACCATTCCTTGGTGAAGGATATCAGATGTTTGGTAAATGGAGGGTTGGTAAAATGGAGGGTTGAACTAAAAGAGGAAGACCACCAACAAAGGGCACAATGGCAGCAACAGTGGGCTCAAATGTAGCAACGATTGTGACACTGGAGCAGGGCTGGGCTGTGTTTTGTTCTCTTGTGCGTAGGGTTACTATGAGTTGGAATTGACTCAATGGTGCCTAACAACAACAGAGAGCTTTTAGACTTCTTTCCAGCCCCACTGAAGAATATCCTTTGTTTTTAGCCTGTATTCATTTCACTCTTTCTTGGATCTTATCATATGTCTCATGATCTAGGAAATTTCATTCATATTTGCAAGGCAGGCTTTTTGAACACTCTCAATATATGGACAGGGTTTGTTTGTAGAGGCAACTGAGAAGGGATCCACATTCTTTCTTGATATTATGTTTTATTTTCATTGACTGTGGTATCCAGTTGCTTCCTGGAAGGTGAAAATGACTTCCTGGAAAAGGCTCAAGGACAAAAAATTTGCAACCTTGATTCTAATTTGGAATGCATGTTTTCTCAGTATTTTGAAGACTAATTCATTTTGAATTGTGATCCCTATGCAGACAACCATTTACCTCCCACACACACTCCCACCCCAAAGTTTTTAGATCTTTGCTTTGTCCTTAGGGTTCTGAGACTTCACCCCAATTTAATGTGCTGGGCACTTTTGTGACCTTTTGAACCTCTATAAATCCTTCATTTTTAGAATGATACATTATTTCTTTCTTAGAAAGCACTCTCCTCTTTTTCAGAAATTCTGTAATTCAGATATTAGAACTCCTGTATTGGCTAGGCAGTATTATTGTTAGTAAGTTATAGTCACTTATGAAACCTCCAAATATTGCTTTACACAGAGCTCCATTTTAAGCACTATTTCATGATGTTCTACAGAGAATGTTAATATGAATATTGAAACTAAAAATATGTTTTCTTATTTGATCTAAAATTTCCCACTATACACCATATAGCTTTTGTATGTTAACAACCAGCATGGAGACAATGTTGTTGCTAAGTGCTGTTGAGCTGGTTCTGACTCATAGTGGCCATGTATAGGGTTTCTGAGGAGTGGCTGATGGGTTTGAACCACTGACCTTGCAGTTCAAACTGACTTTGTGGTCCAGTGCATTGTACTACAGTGCCACAACTGTACTTCAACATATAGATACAGAATTTAAATTAAACTTCTAAGTTAATTTGTATTTTATGAAATCAATTTTATGGTCCAGCTTTTAAGCTAAGTATTTCTTTTCTTCCTTAGAGACAGCATGTTTTCCTTTGGCTTTAAACTTTCATTGGTAATGTAAACAAATCCTGAATGTATTTAGAGCTAATTTTGTAAAGTGTCATGAGACTAATTATGCTATAGAATGGTAAACATACATTATGACGTAAGTAAATCCAAATTAACACATAACATCTTTTTCTCTTTTCCTTTAAGGTTCACAATAGTCCCAAATGCCGTGGTTCAGTGTATTCTTGTTATCGGTCAATCAGCTTGTTCTTTTCAAACCAAGAGGAAATTAGAATTTATGGCCATGAAATAACAAAGAATGGAATCAGGTAAGATCTGATGACATAAGGGAAAAAAAAAACAGGTGCAAGGTTGGTGGTTCAAATCCTCAGAAACCCTTTAAAGGGTCACTATGAGTCAGAACCTGGAGTCCTGGTGTAACGCTATGGGTTAATGCACCAGACTGAAAAGCCGTTTGAACTGCAAGGTAGGTGGTTCAAGCTCACCAACTGCTCCTTGGAAACCTTACACAGGATGCTATGGAAACAACTCAACAGCACTAGACAACAACAACAACAACAACATGAGTCAGAACCTACTTGACAGCACTTTGCAACAACAACATAGCTTGTGGAGGAGTCGTGGTGTCACTTACCTAAGTATTGATAGAAGTGTCACATCTTTTCTGAGAGAGATTTAGGATAAATCTTCATACTTGATCAGTCATTTTTACTCTCTTCCTCTCTCTTTTTCTCTACTGCTTTCTTTTAGATTTCCTTAAGCAGGAAGTTAAGGAAAGAAATCTCTGGAACTCCTTTCTAAATCTGTGTAACTAAGGTTTGATTGTCAGGTGAGATTTTCCATCAGTGTTCTGAGAAAGACTCAAAGTCAATGAACAACTGGGCTTCTGAGTAGAATCAGATGAAACCAGCTTTCCAGTTTCCTATCTGACAAGAATGTGACCTGAGAGTTTTGAGGAAGGGAATACTTGTTTATTTGACTTTATATATATATATATATATATATATAAACTAAAAATATATGGAACAGTTTACCCATCAGTCTAAATAATTGTAATGAGATACTCAATTTTAAATACTACCTGACTGAGTTATGCCAGAAAAAGTAAATTCATTCAGAAATCACTCTCAAATGTTTGAATCATGATATTTCTTTCCAGTGCAAAGACCTTAGCAACATAAAGTGCTTTTTTCTCAGTTCAGATGGTTCAGGGGCAACAAGTGGTAACAGAAGGGATTTTGCAGTAAACAGTAGGAGAGCCAGGCAATAATCAAGATTTTATCAGAGTAAGGAAGCTTAAAGCAGTTCCTCAACCTCTTGAGGATGTAGTTTGGTCCATTGGTATATATGCATCTCATTTTCTTCATTTTGAGAAAGCTTAGCCATTTTAATAGGTAGATAGTACATTTTTATATGTTCCCTGGAGCTGAATAAAAATAATACTTTAGAATTCTTTATATGGGATTTGAAGGACCCCTGGTGGAACTATAGGGTAAGCATTGGACTGCTAACCAAAAGGTCAGCAGTTCAAACCCACCTGTTGCTCCATGGAAGAAAGATGAGGCTTTCTGCTCCTGTTAAGACTTACAGCATTGGAAACCTACAAAAATGTCATGGAGGCCATGTATGAATTCCTCTGGTTTCACAAGGGGAAAGAGAATCAAACTCAAAGTCAACCAGCCCAAGGCAGATTCCCATGAGACAGTGATCAGACATGTCTCCACCCTTCAACCTTCTTTACCTTCTTCTGACACCAACCATCCCTCCCACAGCACTCTCTGTTTCCCATTTGGGTGTTCTATTACATTGCAGTGGATACACAGAATTCAGACAATATTCATGATTATGGGCTTTATTAGGGAAGTGAACAGGGTACAATTCGGGATTAGAAACAATTTAGGATGCAGCAGCTCTTTAGTCAGAAAGGGCTCTTCTGTTCTCTACTGCAAGCATGCTTTGCTCTTGTCTTGGACCTCTTAGCCATGTGGCCCCTTGGCCTCTGTTCTGCTGGGGCAAGTGTGACAAAGGTCCTTTAGCCTGTCTGTAAACACCAAAAGCCACATTCTGCACATCACCCTCCTACCCACTGGCACTCAGCTTTACTGTGTCCGTGCACTGGAAAGCCCAAAGCTTTTCTGTCTTTCCAGGTTGCTACCCCTTCTACCAGCTGCACTGCTGCCATTTTTCTGTACAGGGATCTCATGCTCAGTTCATAGCTCTTCTTTCTTGATTATCTGTTCCTGTCTCTGAGATTGTGCCTTTTAAACCTAGTGGCATGGTAAAATGAAACAATCCCAGTGGTAGAGTCTCCTACAGCCTATTCATAGTCTTCCATTGTGGGTTAATGTGCTGGACTACAAAGTCGGTCTGAACCACAAGGTGGTGGTTCAAGCTCATGAGTTAGTTTTCGGAAACCCTATAAGGGGTTGCTATGGGTCGGCATTGGCTTGGCGGCACTTAACGAAGATAACAACCCAATCATTTGGTGAGAATCACAAAGATCAAAGTGCTGTGGAGTTGGTTCTGACTCATAACGACCCTGTGTAGGGTTTCTGAGAAGAGGCTGGTGGGTTTGAACAACCAGCCTTATAGTTAGCGGTCTGGTGTTTATCCTACATTGTCAAGACCATTGCTAGAAAAGACATATTAAGTAAATTCACAAAACTCTATAAAGGGTCACTATGAGTCAGAATCAACTTGATGGCAGTTGGTATATGGGATTTTAAGGAGCACTGATGTCACTGTGGGTTAAGTGTTGGGCTACTAACTGCAATGTTAGCAGTTCAAACTCACCAACCAGTCTGTGGGAGAAACATAAGACTGCTTGCTTCCATAAAGATTATGGTATGGGAAACCCTGTATTGGTTTTCTATAAGTTGGAATCATATTGATGGATGTTAGTTGGTTTGGTTTCATGTCAGATTTTAGGTAAAATATATGTTGTTGTTATGTGCCATCAAGTTGGTTCCAACTCATGGTGACCCTACGCACAACAAAATGAAACGCTGCCCAGTACTGATTCATCCTTACAAACATCGTTACATTTGAGTCCATTGCTGCTGCCACTGTGCCAATCCATCTCATTATTGTTGTTATTAAGTGCCATTGAGTTGGTTCCAACTCATAGCGATGCTGTATAAGGTTTCTGAGGAGCGGCTGGTGGGTTTGAACTGCGAACTTTGCTATTTAAACCAACCTTGAGGTCCACTGCTTATCCTAAAGAACACACCAGGACTCCATTTCATTGAGGCATATAGGCACTTTATAATATCATTATATTTTATAAAGCAGAAATGCCTTTCAAATAGTTTTAAAAGAATGTTAACCCTTTATAAAGCCAAGAGCATATTTAATTTTAAATCAGAGAAAGCATTTCTTTGAGGATTTCCAGATGTATGATTGCAAAAAATAAAGGATGGCAGCCACCATTCCTCCCATGGTCTTCTTGACTCAACTTCTTGACTCAATTAATCCATTGCAATGAGTACACAAAACTGAGACACCATATTCACATTTATGTTTTTTTTTAGGGAAGTTGTTAAGTGCCATTGAGTCAGTTCCAAACTATTGCGAACTTGTATAGGGTTTGCAAGGAGTGGCTGGTAAGCTTAAACCACTGGTCTTGCAATTCAAACTGACTTTGCCGTCCAGCACATTAACCTCAGCGGCACCATGCCAGGATTCCAACATTAAGGAAGTTAACAGGTTACAACTCAGGCTCAGAATGTTCGTGACACAGTTCTCCAGTCAGGACAGCCTCTCCGCAGCCACGCTCACAGGCAAACCTCTCTGCCTGACAATGTTACAAAACTCTGTTAGGGCTGCTGATAAATGCTCACAAGGCACACCACTACACTATAAGCCTCAGCCTGAAGGGACTTGGCTCTAGCTGTGTAGGTCAGTAGACCTAATTACCCAATTAAGTGCTTCTTGTGGTTGTTAAGTACTGTGGAGTCGGTTCCAACTCTTAGTGACCCTGCACAGGGTTTCCGAGGCTATAAATCTTCACAGGAGCAGAACGCCTCATCTTTCTCCCATGGAACAGCTGGTAGTTTTGAACTGCTGACCTTGAGGTTGGCAGCCTGACTTGTAACCGCTATGCTACCAGAACTCCTTAAGTGCTTAGAGGACTCCATTCTGCCAGCAAGCCTCCTGCCCAGAATCATTCAGTTGTCCTTGCTTCACGGGCCTGGAAGGTCACCACTCTGTCTCATGTTCTGCTGCTACTCCTCTGTCATTCCTCTGGTGTCACAGCTGTTTGTTCCTGGGTCAAGGAGGTTCAATACACAGACATCTCTAGGTCCAAAGGATGTGCACTCAACTTGTTCTTCTCTGACAATAGTGACACTCCCTCTTGGACTTCTGAGATGGCTCACTTTGTAACCAGCAGGATGGCAAAACTGACTAATTACAATGAACTCTGTTTATAATCATTCACAACTGAATCATACAATCCATCAGCATCACTCTGCCAGTCCCCCCCCCCCCACACACACACACCTTTTCTTGCTCTGGTCCATCAGGAAAAAGTCTTTTGGTGAGTGTTTACAAAGGCTATGACTATGTTGTTAAGTGCCGTCGAGTCGGTGTCGACCCATAGCGACACTGTACAGGGTTTCCAAGGCTGTAAATCTTTACGGGAGCAGAAAGCATCATCTTTCTCCTGTGGAGTGGCTGGCATTTTCAAACTGCTGACCTTAAGGTTCACAGCCCGATTCGTAACCACTACGCTATCAGAGCTCCTTATGGCTCTAAGAGACATTAAATAATTCACTGTACCATAATGATGGAAGGAGGATGATGATTATTCAGCTAAGTTGCTTATGTTGCCTCTGGCCCTAAAGCCTAACTCAGCAGGTGCCAGGGAAATACTAGCCTACATTTTTATTGCTTAATACCTAGTTTGCATAGAGAGTTTCTTTCACATATTAGATGTTACCCACTTTCAACTACAGCCACTCCTCAGTTCTTGATATGATTGAGTTCCAAAGACCAGGTTATTACATGAAAATCAATGTTATGTAAAAATAGAGGAGGACTACATCCAATCACAAATTACAGTATAACTACATCATTACATAATTGCAAACCATTGAGAATAATGACCAAGCTAAGTTGATCATAACCTCAACGATCACAGTTAGTATTACTCTTGTGTTAAATGAACCTCAGTGTTCAGTAGTGCCAGACGTAGGTTATTAATGAGCAAAATAGCAGAAAAGTAGATTTTTTTCTTTGGTTGTAAATATGAAACGTTGGATAAAGAAATGGTAAACATATGTGCTATCACTAATCTTCTATGGCATCCCTCCATAGTATAAGCTACGGGGTAATTAGTTACTTACTTTTATTAAAATAATTCTGTGTGTAATCAAATTTACTTTGAGAAAGACCAAATGATAAAAAAAAAAAAAAAACTATAACAGAAAAGCTATAGTTTTATACAATTAACATCATTTTACTATGAAATATCTTTATAAAATAAGACTCACTTTTCTACTGCTATAATCAAGTATGTTGTTATGTGCTATTGAGTCAGTTCTGACTCACAGTGAGCCTATGTACAACACAACGAAATACTGCCCAGTCATCTGCCACCCTCACAATTGTAATGTTTGAGCCCATTGTTGAGGCTACTGTCAGTCTATCTTGTTGAAGGTCTTCCTCTTCTTCAGGGACCCTCTATTTTATCAAGCATGATGTCCTTTTCCAGAGACTAGACCCTCCTGATATTGTATCAAAACTACATGTGATGAAGTCTTGCCATCCTAATATGACAAGGAATAATCTGACTGTACTTCTTTTGTTCTTTTGATAGTCCGTGATATACTTCATGTTCTTCACTAACACCATGATTCAATTCTCTGGTCTTCCTTATCCACTGTCTAGCTTTCACAAACATATAAGGCAATCAGAAATAGCATGACTTAAATCAAGTGACATCTTTACTCTTTAAAGCTATAAAGAAGTCTTTTGTAGTGTATTTGTACAATGCAATATGTCATTTGATTTCTTGACTGCTGCTTCCATGAATGTTGATTGTGTATTCAAATGAAATGCAGTCCTTGACAACATCAATCTTTTCTCTGTTTATAATGATTATTGTTTATTGGCCTAATTGTGAAGGTATTTGTTTTTTTTTTTTTTTCATAATTCATACTGAAGTTTGTAATCTTTGGTCTTCATCAGTAAGTGCTTCAAGTCTTCTTCACTTTCAGCAAGCAAGGTTCTGCATATGACAGGTTGTTAATGATCCTTTTTCCAATCATGATACTGTATTCTTCAGATAGTCCACCTCCTTGGATTATGTGATCAACATACAGACTGTATGCTGTTGTTGTTATTGTTGTGAAGTGCCATTGAGTCAGTTCAGACTCATAGCGACCCTGTTTTCAATCCATGGGGCTTTCAATATTATTCAACAACACCATAATTTAAATACATCAGTTCTCCTGTCTTTCTTATTCACTGTTCAGCTTTCACATGCATTGAGGCAAATGAAAATACGATGGCTTAGGTTAGGTGCACCTTTGTCCTCAAAGTGACATCTTTTCTCTTTAACACATTAAGAAAGTCTTTTGCAGCAGATTTGCCCAATGCAATATGTCACTTGATTTCTTGACTGCTGCTTCCATGATTGTAGCGTGTGAATCCAAGTAAAATTAAACCCTTGACAGCTTCAGTCTTTTCTCTGTTTTTCATGTTGTTTTTTACTGGTCCCTTTGTTTTCTTTCCATTGTATTGTAACCCATAGTGAAGCCTGTATTTTTTGACAAACTGACAGATGTGTGGGGATAATCCAGTATAGCTTTTATAAACTTAAAAACTCAATAATTGGTGACATTTCTTCAGTACTTTAAAACATTTTTTTGAATTCCTAATGTTTATATTTCTTAATCATAATATATTATGGCATATGTGGTGTTAGCAAAGAATATTAATTATTCCATGGATTTCCAGAAGAATAAACAAATCTGTCTTGGAAGAAGTACAGCTAGAGTGCTTTTTAGAAGTAAGGATGATGAGTCTTTGCCTTACTTTATTTTAACATGTTTTTAGGAGGTGCTAGTACCTGGAAAAGGACATCATAATTTGTAGAGGGTCAGTGAAAAAAGGGTCAGCCCTCAACAGGTGGACTGGCTCAGCGACTGCAACAGTGAGGTCATACACCAATTGTGAGGATGATGCTGGACAGGGCAGAGTTTCATTCTGTCGTGTATGTTGGGTCGTTATGAATTGGAACTGACTCAAAGGCACCAAACAAGACTAATAACAAGCTAGAGTCATTTTATTTACTCTCCAATTTAAAATTTTAACTTTTCTTCTTTTTATAAATAATTTCCTCTAAATATTTTGGTACAAATAGTTAAATGTATGTTGACTTATTTCTTTGGAGGTTGACCTCTTGTTGAAGGGTATGTATAGTATTTGTTTAGGTATCTATATACTTCTTGGAAAGAAATTCACTAACTTTCAATTTTGAGAACAATATATGAATATGTCTACTTCCCTACCTCCTAACTCACATTATAGTTATAGTTTTTATTTAGCATGGTTAGCTTAAGGAAAATTATCTTTTTCCCATCTCTTTAATTATTATCATCTCTTTTCTGCAATATTCATGAATGGAAGGAGAGCAGTGTTATTTAAAAATTATTCTATCTTACTTTGATTTTAAAATGTCCAGTTGTTTAATTTCCTTCAGATTCTTTATATCTCCCATTTCCTTTGTATGTGTATGTGCTTATGAAAGATGGAAAGACTGGACACTGAATTAGGCATTTGAATATTCAATATAACCCTTGTTTAAATAGGCCCAATGGTATCCAATTTAAAATTATGAATATAACCACTATAAATATATGACAATGTACTTTACATTCCTAATAATACCCTTTATACTTTACAGTATTAAACAAATGTAAATAGGCCTTCCTAGACGTTTATGTTTGGGGAAACAATGACTTATTCCAATGTGACATTTTGTAGATAGAAGTTACTCTTTCCTTAGAGCCAAGTTTAAAATAAAATTAAACAAAGTCAGAACTTGAACAATGTGCTTACATATTTTGATCATTGTTTGTCCTAATTTCAAAACTGTTGAGCAGCATTTTTAGATTTTAATTCCTCTAGATAAAGAAAAATTGTATTTCAGTCCTTATTATGATGGATTATTTTCCATATTTCAACCATCATTGATATCTAGCAGCTGTTTGTATTTGATTTGTTGAAAGAAGTATTTAAGCTTAAGTGAAAAATATAAATTAATAAGGGAAACAAGCATCATTTTTGGTTTTTCTTTTACTTTAGTGTAGAACTTTTCAAGTGTTGAGATTTCTTATAAACTTGTTGCTTAGGAGAGCCATAATTTTGAAGAGTAATTTTTAGTTCTCAATTACTCTTTGAAAAAAGAATTGATCATCAGCAATTGATCCTTCATCATAATTCTTAGATTACCTTTGTTCTGTTTTTCAAGTTTAACATTACCTCAGACAATTGGACAAGTTTTTATTGAGAAACTAGCGGACTACATTTTGGTGAAAACAACCTTTGGTGTTTCATTGGCTTGGGATGGAATATCTGGAATTTACCTCAAACTGTCTGAGGAGCATAGAGGGAAATCATGTGGTCTATGCGGAAACTACAATGGCATTCAGTCTGACGATTTTGTAATTCAGGAAGGTAAGTGGGTGGAGCAGGCATATGTAGATACTTTCTAAAGTCTTGCTTTAATACTCAAGCTATTTGCACAAAAAAGACTTGCCACTGGTTGGATAAAATAAAACACTTGCCTGCTTTAGTGATTTTAAGTGAAGTATAAATTGGAAAATATTTTTGTGTCAAAACCTTGAGCTACTTTACATTTGCTAAATTAACATACAAGATTTGCTTAAATAATAAATGTTAAGAATTTATTTCACGGAAGCCTCTGTTGTAGGAACTTGGCATCTGACTAGTTAACAAAACTAAGATCTTTGCCCTCAAGAAACTTACTTTCTAGTGATTCAAAGTTCATTGTGGATAAATGAGTGTACTTTAGAATAAAAGTTATTTCACATCTTGCCTCTTTGTCGTTAACTGCCATCAAGTCAGTTCCAGTTCATAGTGACACTGTAGAGCGACTGGCAAATGTGAACCATGAACCCTGAAGTTAGCAGTCCAGTGCCAATCCTACGGTATATCTAGCTGTAATAAGAAAAAAATTAAATGACTGAAAATAAAACTTTTATAAATAAAGATAATGACATATGAGAAAGACTATACATATTGAATAATAATTTGGAAATTTTTGTGATATGTAATGGTGAATCATTTGAACTCATGAATAGTTAGTGGATTGTAAGTAGGAAATTGAACAAGGCAAGAAGTTTGTGGGAGTCTAATGAGAGTTTCACCTTTTTCAAAGTTTTATTTGTAAACAGTGCAAAGTGGAAGAGAAAGAAAATTTAATTTATAGCAATTTCTATGGATGTGACTGAACCTGCCCTTCATATTTCTCCCATACAAAAAATGCCTGCTGATAAGCTGTATACCTTTAAATGCCTAGTATAGTCTTAAAATTCCTCCAGGATATTGCAGGTTAAGTAAATCTTTGGAAGCTTTTAGGCAATTTGATTGAAGGCCATTAAATGCTTAATTTTTTTGTTAATGATTAAAATTGTATTTCTCTGTACATACCTTCTCATTCTTCAGGGACGACCTCATAAAGAAATGAGGCTTTTCAGAATATCTGTGAATACAGGAAGAGGGTTTTTGTGTGTGTGTGTGTGTGTGTGTGTGTGTGTGTTTGTGTGTGTTTTAAGTTGAGAATTCTAGTTCCATAATTCATATCTATACAAGATATACACTCACATACACATCATGGTTTAGTCTTGTTTCTCCAGCATAGTATTAGTACCACCTCCATTTTACTCATTCTGAAAAGTGTGCCTATATGGACAATAAGTTTGAGTATGTTATATACAAGACATTCTAACTTTAGTAGGATCCAGACAGCTAATTGATAAGGATTTAAGTTTTCATAATTATTGACAATTTTTGTGCCTCTAAAAATAGCTAAATATGTAGTTCAAAAGCTAGAATTAATATTAACTCCAAGGAATTGCCACTGTTTAGCAACCCTAAAATTTGGGTATAAATATTGAAATAAGTGGACCATTAGGAAGTATTTTTAGTTCTGCAAATTTTTACAAATTGGTGTTTTGAAATAAAATATACTTCTTCTTGTTGTTGTTAAGTGCCATTGAGTTGTTTCCAACTCATAGCAACCCTTTGTAGGATTTCTGAGGTTATGAATCTTTTCAGGAGCATAGTCTCATCTTTCTCTTGTGAAGCAGCTGGTGGGCTCGAACCATTGACCTTGTAGTTAGAAGCACAGTGCTCACCCTACAGAACCATAGTGCTCCAAAACGTGATTAGTAAATTTAATTTCTAAATAATTTTAAATAAGTATATTAAACCAGGCCTGGGACTGGTTCACTGTACAACATTTCCGTCAGTGTCGGAGATAATGAGATAAGTGTACCAAATACATCTGAAAGCTCTAAGATGATAATAGCATATTTAAGAAATATTGAAAATTTTTCTTTATTCATTCGTGTATTTTGCAAATATATTTTTAACACTGACTAGATGCCAACCTCTAAACTAGGGATCAAATAAGAGAACACTTTGATATTCTCCCTCCTTCTATGTAGTATATGTTATAGTGAAGTACAAACCAAATAATGAGGTAAAAAAACTGAAACATAAGCTATTTGGCTATAACAGCCACTATACAGCAGCACCAGGAGTCCTGGTGTGGTGCTGTGGGCTAATACTCTGGACTGCAAGGTCAGTTTCAATGGCAAGGTAAGCAGTTCAAGCTCACCAGCCACTCCTTGGAAAACCTATACCGGGTTGCTATGAGTCAGATCAGACTTGACGGCACTTCACAACAGCAACAACAAAAACAGCCATTAAAAAAGCAAAGTGGTGACAGAGATAAAGAATGATAGAGCAATGTGTGGTTGGTGGTAGTCTAGATCCAGTGGCAGAGAAGGACCTTTGAAGAAGGCATATTGAGCAGATGCCTAAATAAGGTGAGGAAGAGAGTTATAGGTTGATTTGAAGGAAGAGTATTTTTGAAGGAGGAAGAGCAAGTGAAAATATCCTGAGGTAGGAATGAGCTTAGAATCCCTGGTTGGTGCAAATGGTTAGTGCATTTTGTTGCTATCTGAAATGTTAGAGGTTAAGTTCACCTAGAAACACCTCAGAAGAAAAGTTTGGTGATCTACTTAAAAAAATTCACCCATTGAAAGTTCTGTGTATCATATCTCTATTCTGACATATATGGGGCTGCCATGAATTAAAGATGACTCAACAGTAACTGGTTTTAGGAATGATATTGGGTATTCCAAGAACAGCATTAAGTCAGGATTACTGAAGCAGAGTAAACAAGATGGTGGAGGTATGCAATGGCCAGAGTCTTTCAGAATCTTTAAGTTTGGGATTTTGTATTACAAGTAAAAAGTACAATCTTCCCAAAGATTGGTGGTAAAATACAAACATTATCATCCTATGTTGAAGATACTGGGAGAATATGGTGAAAACTTAGCTTGAGAGGAGAGCCAGGCACACATAGGTGGTGTGGAGATATTTAATTCCAACGATGTGATAGATGATCATCAGTGGTAGGTTTATGGTCATGTAAATCTGTGTGGTGGTGAATCTAAAAAAAGTACAAATCAGAAGTTTAACTGGCTTGGTGGTGGTGGTGGTAGATACAACTTTGAGTGTCATTTTATTTGATTCTGCCAAGTCCCTGAAATTTGAGATTTAATCTTTGTCTGAATCTGAGGAGGATTAATTTCCATGGCAAGTCCTGAGTTTGTTCTGAGAGGTCAGCTACTGAGACAATTTAAACTTGTTATGAGAGCTCACCTAACAAATATCTGTTTGTTGATGCCCTTATGCTAGTTATGAATAATGATGGGATAAGCTTCATTATTCTTAATATTTGGGCTCTGTCCTCAGTCTATTTATAAAAACTTTTCATATTCAGATGAAATGAATTCACTTTCAAAGCTTTCTTTTCATCAGATGTCTTTTCCCGTCATTAATCATTTATATGATTGCCCTCTGAAATCTCTTCAAAGGTTCAACAAAGAGTTTTTACTGTTTGTTGTGAGGTGCCATTGAGTTAGTACTGACTCATAGCGACCCTATGCACAACAGAACAAGATACTGCCCAGTCCTGCAAACCTCATAATCGTTGCCATGTTTGAGCCCATTGATGCTGCCACTTTGTGAGTCTATATCACTGGGGGTCTTCCTCTTACCAAATATGATATCCTTCTCCATTGACTCATCCCTCCTGACAATATGTCCAAAGTATGATAGATGAAGTTTGGCCATACTGGCTTCTAAGGAGCACTCTGGCTGCACTTCTTCCAACACAGATCTGTTTGTTCTTTTGGCATCCCATGGCACTTTAAATATTCTCCTCCAACACCATAACTCAAATGCATCAATTCTATGTTTTTCTTTATTTACTGTCCAGCTTTTGCATGCATATGAGGTTACTGAAAATACCATGGCTTGGGTCAAGAACACCTTAGCCCTGAAGCTGACATCTTTGCTCTTCAACACTTAAAAGTTTTTACTGTAGGGGACCTAAAAATAGAACTGGCATTTTATTTAGGTTTTGAGTAATAACCAATAGAATAAGAGGGTTATTTCAAGAAATCTCACACCAAAATTTTTACTTATATTTTTTAGTTTTATGCTTTTTATCCCTTCTCTCTCCAACACAAATTCTGTGCTGCTTATCTGGACCTTTATTGGTATAAGTGCTGACTCTTCTCACTTCTAGTCCTTCACCATCTTGCTTCATTGCAATTTACTTTTTCTTTCCAATTGGGATAATTTTATTTTGTATTTATAGTCTGTTCAATTTATTTTTATTATGTCAAGGTGATATTATAACCTATCATTACTGGTTAATTATAAAGTTTCTGTGTTTCCCTTTGTGACTAGAAAGTTTATGCTGAGGAACAGTGTCTATGTTTGTGGAAAATAATACTCTTACACTTATTTTTGTGTGTGTAAATATGTGTCTGCTTATGTAAAATAGAGGACTATACAGAAGATATTGCTATGTTTGCAAGTAGTTGGATGGTACAAACTCCAGATGATGCTAAATGTGTACCTACACCTTCAGATTTTCCAAGTCCCTGCTCAAGTGGAATGCCAGCATTTGAGGTAAATTTGATATAAAACAATTGAGCATATTGAGCATAACACAAACATATTCTATTTGCATAGTTATCATTAAGCATTTTTATGCAAACTCAACATAATCCTAAATTATTAAAGCAAAGAGATGTAATTGCAGCAGAAAATGAACTTAAGGTTATTACAGAAATAGTGAATGTGATGAATTTATTAAAGCAGTACTAATTATGAAAATTAATATTTAAAATATATTAGAATAAATTGCTCTCTTTTTCTCTGGTAAGAACTCAGAGTCTTGCAAATAGATCAGTAAGGAAAATCAGAGCACACATAGCAATTTCAATGTGTTTTGCTGACTGACATTTTTTTCTGTGTAGGCCATCTTCTTCAAGTGTCAGATACTTTTGCAGTTTCCTTTTCTCAGCTGCCATGAGTATATTGATCCATATTTATATATTGCCAGCTGTGTTAATGATCTTTGCAAGTAAGTAAAGTGATTAGTATTTGTTATAAATTTTATTTATCCCATAAAGAAGAATAAGACACTTCTGTAGCTTAACCATGTTCTGCCAAGTCACAAAATATAATGGGAAGTGTAAAATATAAACTATAGTACCAGCTGTTGAAAGTTTACTGAGTAAAAGGTACTGTGCTAAGTATTTTATAAGTAGATGAACAGAATCCCTTGAATCGTAACCATTTTTGTGCTACTGACCATTTTGGAAATCAAGAGGTGTCTATAGACTCTTTTTCAGAACAAACTTTTGAAATACACAAAAGAAAATGTATAAAATCACAAAATCAATTATATTGAGATATATTTATCAAAATACTAACAGAAATCAATTATTATATACTATAAGTGCTTTTTATATGCATGTCAATTCTAATAAAGACTCCTGGTATGGCACTGTGGGTTAATGCACTGGACCACAAGGTCAGTTTGAACTGCAAGGTTGGTGGTTCAAGCTCACCAGCCACTCCTTGGAAACCCTACACAGAGTTGCTATGGGTTGGAACCAACTTGATGACACTTAATAATAACAATGACAAATTCTAATAATTTAGTAATCTAATAGCTACTACATTTGACAGTGATGAGTGTAAACAATATTTTGAGATATTTGCAACAACTGTAGTGGTATATAAAAATATTTATGATTTCTGTAGGTGACAAAGTCATAAATACTGCTAATAACATTGTAATATGTTGCCTTTAGGCATGGTTAAAGGAAATGCTAAACTTCAGTGGGAGATTATTGAAAAAAAAAAAAAAAGTAGTATTTTGTTCATTCTGAATCACAGATGCCTAGTTTTATCTATAGCTCCATTAGGCATCTTTGGATCCCAAATTAATAACAGACAGTTCTGTAGGGGATAAAATTAAAAGAGACTCAGTATAATATTTTTATCACTGTAGATGTTGTTGTTGCTGTTAGGTGCCATCGAGTTGGTACCAACTCATA